CAACATTTCTTAATCCATTTATGGAACATAGGGACAGGAAATTTAAAATTCATAACATCCCTAGGAATCTCAGGATGGTATGTGACCCTTGGCTTCAGTGTGAAGTCGCCAGCTGTATTAATCCTTTTGTCCTAATGTGGGTGTTATTCTGACCTTTGAATTCAGGTGCTAAATTAACCTCTCTAGCTATGAAGGTCCTTCATGCTTTTTTCCTCTGTAGAACCCTGCGTGCTCCACATTGAAAGTTTGCTGTTCAATGTACTCATCGTCCTTACTCACTTTCTAAAAAAATCCTCTGAAACCCACGCTGCCATTTTTACACCAGCACTAGTTTCACGCTGAACTATGATTTTTGTCATTGTGCTACGGGGACAGTTTCCTACCTTAAATCTCATGACTCCAATACTTTCAAAATCTTTTTACTGGTTCCTTACATGCTCTTAGTCATTATAGAGTTGTAAAGAATTAAAGTCTTATTCTGTGTTACTCTTTGACCTAACAGGTTGCTGTACCTGATTTGATCTAAGGGACCCTTTCATGTTTCTTTGCATCAGCACTAAGCCCAGTTTGTTTACATGGCATTTGTAAGCTCATGAAGCAGAACTTTTGATGTCTCCAGGGGCTTTTTCTTTCTGCATTGATAACGTGGTAGTGGTTTGCTTCAACAAGCTCAGCACAGTGTAACCTACCTGAGCTCTTTTCATGCCTTCCTCTCTAGGCTCTCTCACTTCTAATTCTGGTAAAAAGCAAGAGGCACGAGAACCTTTCACTTGAACATTTACAGGCCACTTTAGGGTTATTGATTGACCTATATCCAATGAGTCTGGACTTGTGGCCTAAGGAAGCTAGAGGAGAGGAACAGATAGCAGACGAACAGCCTGCCAAAGTAGCAGGCAGGGCACCATCTTTGGGAGCATCGTTTCTGATGACTTCAAATAGAGTAGTTTCACCAAAGACAATGAACCATGGATTACAATAAGATAAGAAAATTGTATAACTTATTGTATAGCTGATACAATAAGACTAAGAAAATCTCAAATATTTTGATTGTTAGCAAATATTCAACACAAGCAGAAGGACTGAGGGAATTCCTGCAGTAGGACAATAGGACTCAGAAATGTGCAGAATGTACTTGAAAAGAAAGACCCCTTCCCCTGATCCTTTTACCAACACTACTAACTGATCAGAATTTCAAAGATGTGGTGAATTTAGAATGTTGCAAGCTCACAGACAAATCATCTTGGAGCATCTTTACCACTACTCTTAATAGTCACTTATTGCCTTCCTCTTACATGACCTAATGTCTTACAGCAATCAGATCAGTCCCTGGGTATGTATGGACAGAAACCTAGTCTATAAGTGACTGAAGGGTCAACAGTTGCTGTCAGAGGGTGTCTGAGGCCAAAAGACAAGACTTCCCTGCTTTGCCTAAGCCCACCGTTTAATATTTCTATAAATGTTTTAAAAAGTACTTTGATTTGTCCTGTTACTAGAAAGGCATCATCAAACTGTCATGGCTTTGGGACAGGAATATGGAAAAATCTAAATCTGTTTTCCTGGGCCAGGGTCACTCATATTGATCCCAGAATAAACAACATCTCTTTGAGGGGAGAACTGTGTGGTTATATCAACATAAACTCAATTCAGGGTTGCCCAAACTTTCCATTTCTAAATAATGCAGTATCTGTGAGATTCAAAAAAGAAAATATAATAAAACTAGACATACCTACATTCCATCTGGCTTTAATTTAATGAACAGCCTGGGACAAGTATATGTACTTAAAATATTAGCAATTTTTGTGCCTGTTCTCTGCTTAGAAGTCACACGTATTAAACCTGGAACATAACCTGCTACTTTTGAGATCAGATTAAACTGAAAAATGACAACAAGCTCAAATCATAAAAATTTACTCAGAAAAAAAAACAATGCCACTGATAATTTGAATAAGACAGGGGGAAACACTGATGACTATTTGCTAAGAGTGAAGGGAAAGAGGTGGAAGTTAGATGTTTGTCAGAAGCAATTTGCATCCCATAAACATATAGACAATTTAAAATGGAATCACAAAGGTGCTGGTTTCACGAATCAAGTGCATATACATTTTGTCAGGTATATATATATATACATATATATACATACATATATATATCTTAGTATTATATACTTGATTTTTTATATGTTTCTAAATAAATTATGAAAGGCTAAAAGAAGTTTTAAAAATATATTTTAAAATGATAGTAAGTAAAATAGACAAGATAAACTGAAAACAAAAATTATATCTGAGCTAATTCCACTCTTAATATTTTCCAATAAATAAATAAATAAACAATAAATAAGGGGAGTAAGAATTTTGAGATAAATCATTCATTTCACAGTTAATATAGAGTAAGACCATGGTCACTCACCCCAAATCTCTCATAGCACCTTTTCTGTCTCTGTTCCATACCCCAATGATATTAGCATCCTTGTAGTATTGACTTCCATAGTCAAAAACTCTGGCTTTTGATCGGTAGTGTCTGTGATAAATCACTGTGACTACCAACTGACTGTCACATACTTAGCTTGACTTTCATGACCCCCTAGTAAGTCTTCCTGCAGAGCAGGGGCTGGGTTCAGCTTCCTAGGTTGAATTATGCCTTCACTCTCAGCTGTGTGTTGGGCATAGTACCTAAAGCTCTGTATTTCAGCGTTTTTATCTGAGATAGAAAGTAATTATCTTAACAAGTCCAAATGCTTATTGTGAAAATTAAAAGAAATAACAACAAAGTGCCCTCTACCACAGCTATTTGAGTATTGAATGAACAGGGGACTATTGTCTATTACATCAGAGAGGATGGTGATTATGGTCTTATAAATCCAAACTAGAGCTTCCAAAGACAGAAATTATTGTTCCCATTTTGCATATGAGGGGGCTAAGAGCATGCATTCAAAGCGATTTCTACAAAGTCTTAAGGTGACTGTGTGCTTCTACCATAGTATCCTTTGTATCTATTGTGTTTCGGGTTGTGGCCCTTTTCATTTTTCTTGCTATCTACGCAGGCTTGTCACTTGTTGCTGTACTGAGAAGAACACGCGTGTACTTCCGACATGAGAGTGAGTGAACAGCATGGTTGATCCACCCACGCTAACCTCATGAGGTTCAGCTCTCTTCACTGTAAACACTGGGCCATGATGCTCACTTTTACAGGGAGAGTAGCAGCTTAAACAATATGGCAGCTGGTATTGTTGGACTAGAAGTCCAAACGTCAGGGAGGAGTTGCTCCAGACATCACTCCCATAACCACAATTGATGCAAAAGCAAGAGGATTTTTATTCTGTCATGACAGGGCCCTTCAGGTTCGGGATATGAAGGATATCCGACAGCTATTACAGTCCATCTTTTAAAGCAAAAAGCCACAGACACAAGGGGAGAACCTGTAGGTTGTTTTCCAAATTATTGGATTGGCTTATTTAAAAGGTCACTAGCAGTGATTGGTCTATTCCAGGGCAGGAGAATAGCTGCGTGGTCAGGTGAGATAAGGGGGAACATCTATGGGCCCTCCTGACCTTGTTCCAGTGACTAAATCAATACATCAGGAACTGAGTCAACATCTGTGAGTTGTCTTTGCCTTAATTCCCAGAATGGAGTTATGTTTGAAGATTATTCACAAGGACACAGGAGGATGAACAGTCCAGTGTGTGTGTGTGTGTGTGTGTGTGTGTGTATGTGTGTGTGTGTGTGTGTGTGTGTGTGTGTGTGTGTGGCGGGGGGGGGCGACTGTCCCGTTTACAAGAGAGAGTGAGTGTAAAGTTTTAGAAAAATGTCTTAGGGTTGAGGGGGCATACAAATGCATTTAGAGTCTTTCAGTATATGCACTATGTGACTAGTTTAGTAGTTTATGCCAGTACATATTTACATTGTTTCTGTTAGTACGTATCAAGAGTGTAGGGTCACCCTTGTTTTCACAATTGGCCAGTGTGTTAGTTTTACCTTACTACTCACAAAGGACTGTCGTCCTTTGTGTATAAGCACCACCTCATTTCTCTCCTTGGTACAGATGTGTAATCCTTTGATTAATCTCTGTTGGACTAGACATGTTTTATTTACTTCTCGGGACTGTGTCTTAGTTTAGGGAGGTGGTAAATGTATAGTTCTAGTATAGTATATGATACCGACAGCCATGGTAAACACAGGGTCACAATTTTGTATAGCAATAGGTTGCAAATATAATTATTTTCTGTTTTTAACATAAAAATTATAGGTTCATATCATTTCAAGACCTATACTTCCAACATATGCAGATCAGTATATCTGTCTTCTGTGCTGACTGTATTGTCCAATTGTTATTTTTTTTAACAAATTGGGTGCTCAGTTTTTTTGGACTTCAGCATTGGATACTACAAACTGTAAATGTGGATAATCTTTGGTCCCACTGAGGGGTGTCAAGTTCATATGTTGCTGCATGGTATGGTACTCTTTTTTAACAGAGTTGCATCATGACTTACGGTAAGTTTCATGACTGCTGTGCGAAATATCAAAAGGTAGATGCCCTCAGTTTTGTAGTCCCTCTAAGCCTCTGATATTCTTCAATCTAGTTAGTTTATTGTATATACATTTAAAATAATCATAACACTATTATGGGTGGTGCTAAAAGTTCTTGTCTGAGTGACAATATTCCTTTTAATCATCATTAATATACATTGAGAGATTATTCAAACTTCGGAAAGAAACAAAGCCTAAATTACGTCATACCAGTTTCACAGAAGAGCATGTGAAGAGTATAATTTTTGATGGGCGGCCTGACTCAGGATCCAGAGAGACAATGGTACTCAGAGTCTGCAGGCTCTTGTCTGAGTGTCCCAGTTGTGTGATGGGAGGACACCTGCGGGGTCTTGCCTAGCATTTGTAGGCAAGTCATGAAACCTAATTATCATATTCTCGGACTAAAGCTGCCTTCCTGGAGTGAGTGAAGCTTCACTGGGATCGGCAAACAGACAGTAGAACACTTTATTATCTTACCTATATGTTGCCCATACATGTGGTAGAAGAAACTGAAACAATACGCAGTGTTTGTGGGTCCATATGGATTTTTGGGAGCTATGCTGAATACAGGGCTGAGAAGTCGAGCCTTTTCACCTTCTAGTCTGGGTCGTGATGTCTCAATGTACATATAAAAACCTGGAAGTCGGAGAAGCCAGTGTTGAAGCACATTCTTATGAAGTAACATAAGTTATCCTCGTGACATTTCAGAGCTTGGATCCATAGTGAAAGTTGATAACATGGTTTACATCTCATTAATAAAATCTGCATAGTTACATATAATTAATCACTTTAACAGAAAAAAAAAACACATAAAGATCTGAGAGAAATGATAATTTTAGAGATGAATTAGTACAAAATAAAAGGTAGTACTCTGATCTTTCAACTACATTTATCACTAAGATGTGAAAAAATATTAATAACCACAAACCTTGGAAATATCTGAATTGCTGTTAGTATGCGCAAGATATAAAAATTTACTCTATGATTCTCAAATACATAGCTCACGACACACTAGTATTTCTTGTTCAAAACATTTCCAGCTCTCCAGTTGCTGTGCACACAACTCTGGAAACCCTCCTACCTTCTTTGGAACCACTGCGATCTGCATTGGGCCCCGTGTTAGGAGTGTATTTTGTATTTCTTGTCGCAGTACTTTGTTTTGTCCAGTCAAAATTATCAGTATCATCTTGGGTGAACAAACAAATATTACCATCTTCAAATCCACAGTGAAACTCTCCTGTTAATAGATTTTAATTAAAATAATAAATATTAATTAAATAGAGCATTGCAACATTTTATTAGAAAAATTTCAAATATTACAATGTAATAATAGCATAGTAATGATATCCCAGCCTTAATGGCACAATTATCACTAAATATAGAACTATTATAATTTTGTTGTAAAAGAGTAATGATTTTATTAGCTTATTTTAATTTTACAAAGTAATGGGTTGCCTTCCGGCATTTCCATACGAACATACAATGAATGCCTTTTGATCATATCACTCCCATCCCCGAATATCTACCATCCTTTTTCTACTTTTCTCTTTCATGTTTCCTATAAGCCCCCTTTAAGAGTAATACCTTAGTTTACGTTAAACCAATATCTTACTATATAATTAAGGCCCAAATCTTTTGTTTAGAACCAACTAGGTAACTCAAAATAATACAACAATTCATGTTTGACTTTTTCCTGGAGAATTTTTTAACTTTTTTTTAATGCATTGAAACAGTTGAGGCAGAAGTGTCGATTAGGAAAGAAACTTTCTGAAAGAGAAGGGTTGGAACAGACTCATAATCTCAGCACCAAGGAAGCTGTGGTAGAAGGACCAACATGACTTAAAGTGTACAGTAAATCCCAAGCCGGCCTTTATTACAGACAAGACCTTGTCTTAAGAAACAAAAGAAAACGAGACTTTGGAGGTCACATGATAGCATCTTAAACATGTACACCTGGAGCATGTAATTTTTTATGCCCTCTCCTCTAGAAATGTTCTTCTACACACACATCTGTGAAGCTGTACGTTTGCTTAGGGCAATGCGACAGCAAATTGCTTTTAAAACAGTCATCATTCATGCTTGAGTTGAATGTGGGTCTGCCAGATGTGAAGATCCTCTTGAGGTGAATTTTATAAAATAACTTTATGTAGACCCCAAGGAAGGACTGGGAGCTTTCGATGCTTGCCATATGCTGAGTTAAGAGAGGGACTTTTTCAACTTGTCATTAAATATGGGTGGTGGTAATTCTTTTATCTATCTATCTATCTATCTATCTATCTATCTATCTATCTATCTATCTATCTATCATCTATCTAACTATCCATCTATCTATCTATCTATTTATTTTTGATTTATTTTTGTCTTTCGAGACAAGAGTTTCTCTGTAGTTTTAGAATCTGTCCTGGAACTAGTTTTTGTACTCCAGGCTGGCTTTGAAATCACAGAGATCCACCTGCCTTTGCCTCCCAAGTGCTGGAATTAAAGGCGTGCCCCACCACTGCTGGGCTGGGTGGTGGTAATTCTACAACAGAAGATTATCTTACAAGAATTTGCCCTGCTTCAACAAGTGTATACACAGATGATCTGGTTTATTCCGTCAGAAACACGAGCTGTGTGCACCAATTGAAAAAATATAAAATGTGGTGCATATTCTTCCACTCATTAAAGTAAGGACTCTGCAAAATCTCCACTCTTCACTGTGAGTTTCTCAAAAGAGGAAACTTTGGTTCAGTCAGCTTTGCTTACTAAAAGCAAAATGCACACAGAATCCAGCTTCACTGAAGTTCACAAAGAAAGAAACATCCAGACTCGACCAGTGGAATCCCTAGTACCCTTGCAAAGGGGTAGATCCGTTAGGCATCCTCAGGAAGAGGGAACTTGATTCCCATCATATACCCTAGTTAAGTGAAGTCTTTTTCTTTACAATTAAGGAATAAGTTTTTGTCAGATTAAATAGTTACTATGTGTCTGTATATTTATTTGTATTCCATACAGATGGACATGTTCTAGAAAGACAATATTCTACAATAAAATATTTTATTTTAAAAAACATTTTTTATCTGTGTGTGCATGTATGCGTGTGTCCATCTCTCTCTCTCTCTCTCTCTCTCTCTCTCTCTCTCTGTGTGTGTGTGTGTGTGTGTGTGTGTGTGTGTGTGTGTTAGTGTGTGTATACCTTCAGTATGGTGGTTCTCATGGAAGCCAGAGGAGCTGGAACCGAGGTAGTTGTGAGCTACCTAAAATAGGTGCAGGGAATTGAACTCAGCTCCTTTGGTAGAGCAGTAATTGTTCTTAACCACCAGACCATTTCTCCAGCCCAACAATGACATCTTCCAGGCACGTATTTCTGGTACTGATTTTATATGAAGGAAGACAGGATCTTAGGATGCTAGCAGTCAAAAGTATAACATTTGTGACAGTAGTGTGGCAATATGCATGTGACTTTCTCCTGATGTCTTTTAGGAACAATGCATAGTTTCTTTGATTGTGAGTTTTGATTCCAAAGGAGACTGTTCTGAAATGTCTTCAGCTGTTTAGTGTCATATTTTACTTATGAACAAAAAGTGGTCAAAGAAAAAATGGTAAGATGTAGTTCAGAATTCTTGCAGAAACTTATGCTATATATTTTTAAATTAAGTACAACGGGGCTAGAGAGAGGCTCAGCAGTTAAGATCACTGGCTGTTTTCCCAGGGGACCCAGTTTGGTTTCCAGCTCCCATATGGCTGCTCACAACTAACTAAAACCCAGTCCCAGGAGAATCAACGCTGTCTTCCATCTACTGAGGGCACTGACATACATGGTACACATATACATCTAGGCAAAGCACTCATACATATCAAATAAAAACAATTGTTAAAAAAGACTTGGTGAGAATGCTTTTTTAACATTAAGTAACATGATTTTTTTGTTGTTGTTGTTGCTTTGTTTTTCAAAACATGATTTCTCTGTGTAGCCCTGGTCATCCTAGAACTTGCTGCATAGATGAGGATAGCCTCAAACTCAGAGATCTTTCTGCCTGTACCTCCAGAATGCTGGCATTAAAGGTGTAGTAAAGTGATTTTTTTTCCAGTAAAAAATAATTTTATGATTATTCTATTACTTTAAATTAGATAATTACACATATATGCAAAGAAGATGGCTCATATAAAGTTTATTCAATAAAGAATAATCAAAAGATAATGCATATTAACTAAGATACATAAATAGCAAAAGCCAGTGTAATATTCAATTTTAAATGATCTCACAAATATGAAAAAAATGTCTTGGAATTTATCAAAGTCAGACACGTAAGACTGACTACTTTTTAAATTTTTGTTAAATTTCTGATTATAGCAAGAAAATCTGAATTTAAAGACTGTGGTGTTCTGAATAAAAATGGTCACCATAGCTTGATATGTTTGAATGTTCCATCCTTAGTTTGTGGAACTGTTTGAGGAGGATTAGAAGGTGTGGCCTTGTTGGAGAAGGTGTGTCACTAGGGGTGGGCTTTTAGGTTTCAAATGCCCAGTTGTTGTGTTGTGATCCTCCACTTCATGCTTGTACATCAGATGTCAGCTCTCAGCTACTGCACCTGCCTGCCACTATGCTACCTGCCACGATAGTTATAGACTCTATGACCCTCTGGAACCATGAATATAAATTAAATATTTTCTTTTATCAGTTGTCCTGGTCATGGTGTCTCTTCCCAGCAATAGAAATGTAACTAAGACAAAGATACACAAAAAAGTTTCAAATATTCTACATTATAGGACCTCCAACATTTTACATTAATTTTCCAAATCTATTCCAATATGGTGAATAAATAACTTAACAAATTAGAACTAAGAAGCTGGGAACTCTTTGGCCTACATGTATCAACCTATTTTATTTTTTTGCAGTCCCTTAAAACCTGAAAAAAAATGTAGCCTTACATTTAAAAAAAAAAAAAACAAGAGTTCTCAAGTACTGATACTGAGATTAGGAAATGTATAGTTCATAGGAAATCCTCTTTTTACTTCAAATGGTTTACAAAGACAGAGGTATGTGATGGCTAATTGTCATGGGCTACATGGTCTAGAATCACCTAGGAAACACATCTTGGTATATTCTTTAGGATTTTTAGACAGAGGTTTAATGGAAGAAGGCAAATCCACCCTGAATCTGGGTACTACCACCTCATGGGCTGGGATCAGTGAATGAAAAAAAATGGGGGAGAACTTGAAAGGAACTAGCATTCATGTATTTGTTTCTTGACTTCAGATCCCAGAGTCACACCTTCCTTCCATGACAGATGGTATCCATATTTATGACAAGAAAAAACAAGAGTCCTTCTCCACTCAAGTTGCTTCTACTAGGTAATGAATATGGGATGGTTTTATGTGTGGCACTAATTTTCAGGTATATGAACACTATTCCTCATCATGTACATATAAAATGTAACGTAAAGCAAAAATTCAGAATTCAAAATCAAACCAAGATCAAATAATCAGAAAATTTAATTTACATAATTTTAGTAATTTGAGGCCAGGTATGTTGGTGAATGCTTGAAATACCTGTACTTAGGTGGTACTGAGGACATTGCAATGATGAGTCTATGTCCTAGTCTACCCTAGACTATACAGTGAAACACGGCTTTTAACAAACGCAATGCTAAAGTAAAATAATACCATGTATAAGAAAAAAACTTAAATACAGGATTAAATAATCAAGGGTTTGGTTGGTGGCTCTTGAAGTAAACACTTTACAGTTTAAGCATGATGACCTAAATTAAAACCCAGGTTACCATGGTAAAAGTAGAGAATTGATTCTGTAAAGTTGTCCTCTGACCTCCACAGATGCAAATTGGAACACATGTGCCCTGCCACAAACACTGTACACATACATTATGCCCACACATGCACTAGCAATGATAATTATTACTATAATAAATGGCTTTAATAAGTCATTTTAATATTTATGGGGAAAAGACAGCAAATCAAGAATCAAATCATAGAAGACCACAAAATGAAATATACAAAAGATGTCAGAGAGAAACTAAAGAGAATGCCATAGTTATAGAACAGTGAATGCTAGCCAGTTTGGGGAAATGACTCCATATTTCCTAACTTAGTTAAATGTATAACCATCTATGACCAGTTCAAATTATTTGTTTATATCCTCTGGTAAAACTATATCACGTGAACTTTGAAGTGCAGTCACAATGCCAATTATACTGCTTTGAAATCATTGTTTTATACCAAGTAAGAACAGATTTTACCTAATCTTTGTATATTTATATGTAATCCAATTCTTCACTATGTAATATAATATGATTTTCCAAGTGAAAATAATATACTTACTCAAGTGAGGATTTACAGGTGCTGGAAGAAAAGCCAGAAAAAGCAGAGCAGAGGAGGGGGGAGAAATAGAAAAATTTTAATAAGGCTTGGATGTTGTTTGTAAACAAAATTCTAATAAGTCTACTCAGAATTCTATGATTTTCTTCCAATCCTAATGATGGCAGTGGATAATTGCATCTGATCCATTTTGTTCTATGGGATATAGAACATTTTACATTGAGCTTGTATTAAGGACTTCAAAGTACCACTAATTCAGTGTTAAAGAGCTTAGGGGAGTCAAACAATTTAAAAGGAATGGCATTGTTCAACTTTTATACCTTAACCAGTGCTAAACAAACCCAGAAGTCAAACAGAAGTCATGAGTAAAATAATCTATGACCCAGATGAATTAAGAATGGAAGCAATTATTCAAGAGATTATATTTATATTTTTGTTACAACCACATTTACTAAAAATAATGACATATAAAATTAATGAAATTATCAAATCATGTCATATGTCTGAAATAAATCAACACCATCACCAGTGGGTTTTAATAAATTAACACACACACACACACACACACACATACAGAAATTTTTTAACATAGATTTAACATATCTTAACTGACAGGATACATTTTTACTGTTTGTGCACAAAGCAAACCTTTGTTTGAGAAAAACAATTATGCTTTCCATAAAAATGCTCTATGATTTCTCTTGAAGCGAGAAATAAAGATATCAAGTTTTACTAACAAGTAACAAAAATATTTCTACTCTACTATGTAAAAGGAATGCGTCTATGATTAACAGTTATCACTGAGAGCAAACTCTGCTCTTGAGTCCCTTGCTGTTTCTTCCCAGAAATATAGTGGCTGGTAATATCCTTTGTGGGACTTCTGCTTTATCATTTCCCTAGCATCTGGCTAGCCACCAAGTTAAACTTACAAATTCCTAAAAAAGCAATACATACAAACATGTAGAATAAGCCTGTTCAACCTTACACAAGAACATGTAGACATGTGGTTCCTAATCTGTGTGTTGGAACCTCTTCAGGGGGTCAAATAACCTTTCCACAGGGATTGTGTAAGACCACCTGCATATCATATATTATACTATGATTCATAACAGCAGCAATAACACAGTTATGAAGTAGCAAAAAATAATTTTAAGATTGTAGGTCATCACAACATATGGAAGTATATTAAAATAAATCTTTCATATCATTTCATACACAAATAAATACTTGCAATATAAAAAAAGCCTACTTACCAGTATATTTGATTACACGAATTGTTGAATCTCCTTCACCAAATTTAGTGAGAGGAGTTAGTCGGACTTCATAGGCCTCTGGTTTAATCAGTTCAGTCAAGTTATATGTAATCAGTTCTCCCTTTTGAATATTCCCATTTATTTTAATCTCCTGTTCCCACCAACGCTGCTGACCAGCCTAAAATCAAAATGATTGTATAATAATGTTTCTAGCATCTAATTTAAAGTTACTTGCTTTGTTCGAAGAAAGTGAAAAGCAGTTTGGAAGTTTAGTTAATTTCATTTTAGACGTTTATCAAACATATTATATTTTATACATTATTATTATATATGTATGTTTTATACATATATTTTATAAAGTCTTTTTCAGATGTTTCTTGATAGCTGAAAATTGTCAGAGATTAGTTAAATGGATTCATCTTTCAATGGATCATTTTATACTGAGAGTTGGAACATTCAAACAAAGACCATCATTTAATGCTTGAAGAAATATCTTTATAAATTCATTTAACATAAATTATTGATAGTATATGAGATTCTTAAACATATATACTGAATACCTAATAGTTTTCAGGGTGAATTGTAGGTATAAGAGTTCTAACACAGAGATGAGTATTGTCTTAGCTCTTGGTGTTCATTGAAAACAGAGATATAATGAAGACTGAAATAAAGCTCACTATAAAGATTTCCAAAAGTCACGCATGCAATTAAAAAATTAAAATAACAGAGTGATCCAGTAAATGCCATTGGAAAGGACCCATTTCCAAATAATCAGAGGGTGACTCCATAAGAATGTTGTTTGGTAGTTAATAAGATAAACGCAGGCACCTGCCATTGGGTTCAGGGGGATGTACATACCAGTGACTTTGAAATAAGTTGTTGCAGTGGAGCAAAATGGATGAAAACACTACTGTAGCAAGCTAAAATAGGAACTAGCATCAAACAGTATTCTACACTGAACACAATGCTTGGATAATTTTATGATTAGTTTTGGGGGGCAATAGGTACTCAACTTGGGGCCTCACACACGACAGCAAGTGTTCTCTGAGGTATGTTCTCCAGCTTAGGGCAGACAATTTTACAGAACAGAAAAATAAATTACCAATAAGCCAATTGGGATCTTAGAAAAAACTCTTTCAAAATTTATGAAAAAAGACCTCTTCTAGTACCATTCCATTAAAATTTTGAAAAATTAAGAATAACCCAGTAGAGTAGTTAAGAAAGAAAGATACTCATTCACGAAACAAATTCATTAGTTTCTGTTTTGCAACTTCACATTTGGTTTGTCCCTCAATAGTCAAGAATTGCTCAATGTTAGCATGTCTGCTAAGGGAAGAAGAATAAGTTTCTTTTACATGGAGAAACACTGACCAAGCTTCCACATTTGCTTATAGTGAACCTATTAATTGGCTAGAAACAATTACTTGATTAATCGTATGTATGAAACTGAACCTAAATCTATAAGATGCTTTATTAATAATGTTCATTTACTGCAATTGTTTATTTTGGAATTGAAATGAGAAGAGAATATTGAGTCATATTCAGTAGTCACAAACAGAAGCAAGAAAACATTTAGTAATTGAGACTGTGGACTTGTCTGCATTGATATAAAATCACCTGGTCTTTCTCTCAGTCTATTATCTCGCCTTCTCACATTTCCTCTTATATGTATATTTGATTTTTCCTCATACATATAAATAATATCTATTCTTTATTTCTGATTCATGTGACTGTTATTACTAACATTTTTAACTTTTATTAATTAAATTATTGCATCCTATTCTTTAAAGTTCTTAACAGGTAATGATAGATTTATTTACTTTTACAAATTGAGCTTTTTTTTACCATTTTAACATATTTTGCTGACTTATCTTATTCTCATGGATATTTTTTATTCTTCTAAAATCTAATAACATAGATGATAGACAAATGGCAGGGAATAGGCATGGCTTATTTAAAATATTTTCTGATACTGCCCATATCTGAAATATATTACATAAACTCCTCTTTTTGATAATATGTGCCCTTGATATATATTTTAACTATGTGCTGATCATGTGACTTAAAATTCTCCTACTGGGGAATGTTTGCAGATAAAGGCAAAGATATAGTCTTTTAGAGGCATCCCTTTGTTCTGAAATGCTCCTAAGGGCATCTCACCAGGCTAGTCACTGTTTGACTGTGAAACCTTTTGATAGCCCAGATAAAGATGGAGAAAATTCCTTAGTTTCCACTAGTCTTAGGTTTTTATTTTTGTTTGTCTCAAAATGTTAAGAATCAAAGTTCAGATTTGCCTTGGCGGTGAGCAGCTAAGCGCAACAATTGTTTGAATAAGAATTTAACTTACTAATGTGGATTGTGGATTTACATGCTTCTTCATAGTTTTACGTGGCAATTCTTTCTTTCATCTCTGTACACACATACGCATGGGTTCCTTATATGTACATATATTTGTATATATATTGTATCCATGTACTATATATGTGTGCATATATGTGTGTGTATTTACCTATATTCATATAAAAACTGATTTGTTTTCTGAAGGTGGATTAGTCCTGACTATGAAACTTGGACTCCTATGGTTCTTATACTTCTACTGCTAAACTTCTGAAAATGAAAATGTTTGATATGTGTACTGTTCATGTTTCTCACTAATTTGTCCCAGAACAATAAACAAAATAGTTGAATCAGGAAGAGATTATTTCATATGTAATTCTTGGAGCTGTGTTCAGAAGAGAGAGATAAAAGAATATGCTATTGAAGAGGTATGTTTACAAAATAAAAGCACGTACAAGATTGTTATCTAAGTATTACAGAGAGAAGTCAGTCTCAGAAAGCTTAACTACTTAACTTTAAAAGATAAAATTGGATGTCTACTGTGAGATTGAATTTCCTAGAACTGTCGGGGAAACTACACCCATGAGATCTCATCATAATGACTGCCTAAACAAGACCCAAATAACGATGACACCAATGAGTGTGTTAACATGGAACGGAACTCTCACAGTTCCTATCATTGACAAAGAACTCCAGACAACGAAGTTCTGGAACTGGGAGAAATAGTCTTTCCTAGAGAATAGGACATCAATTGGATATACACTACCAAGTGACAATTCTGATCAGTTTGTTTTACATACTTAGAAGTATATAAATGTATATTATATATACACACACATTACAAAAATTAATACAAGCAGGTCAGATGCCACGAATCAGAAGAAGATAAAAGGTAGAGGTACATAGAAGGAGTTGGAGAAAGAAAAAGAAAAAGAAAGTTATTTAGTTATATTTAAATATAATAAATACATAGGACTAAAAATGATAAACTAGAGGAGATAAATATGACTGTTTAAAACAGAAACTTAAAATTAATCAATATACAGAGATAGAATGTCAGTGGAGTACTCAGCCACAAAAAGGATATCTATATGTCCTACCCCTTCTCAAGGCTCTGAGACTATTGCAGATAAGGGACAAAAGATTGTAAAGCCATAGATCTGGGAGCACCACAGCAAACAGTGTCTTCTGGGAATGACAACACCCCTGAACTCATGAACTCAAATGGGCTCTGTGGCTGCCTGCCCAAGAGCCCATGATCCCAATCAAATTCCAAAATGATTTGTAGAGGTGTTTCAGATCCCCACCACTTACAGAGGAACTATGGACATTCGATAGCTCTAGGGAAGGAGAGTGTTTCTTAAAGGCTCTAGCGCCTGATAAGTCAATGCCTCACCCATTAATATATGGTCAACACAAACTGTGCCCCATAGGTTAATTCAAAAAAAAACTAGAAGCTGGGAGGAGTTGGAGGGAGGGGTGAATTTGGAAAGAGTTAGGAGTCGGAGAAGTAGGGGTGAACAAGATCAAAATGCATTGTATGAAACTCAAAAAATAATAAAATCACATAATTTGAAAGTCTGCTTTCCTTAGAATTCTAGATTACATAGGGTTGTATAAGCCTGAGCTTTGAACAACATGAATATAATAAAATTCTTATAAGTAAACAAGAAACAGAATTCAGTAGCAAAATGACTCAGATAATAGGTATTTCACAGATGAAGAAACTCCAATAACTAATTAATTAGGGAAAGCTAAGTCCTCACAAAAAATCAATGAAATAGAAATTAAATCCCCATTATTTCACATAATCAGATAGACTAAAATATTAAAAAATGAAACAGTATTAAAGTTTGGTGTAGCAATAAAACAATGAGAAACTTTAAGCATGTCAGAACCTATGTGTAAGAAATGGGAGTGAGTGTAACTCCACCTCCCTAACAAATCAGACTGCAAAGGTGCTGTGAATTCTCCGAGGACTCTGGTAATGCTGACTCTGGATTTATGACACAGTAGACAGCTATGATAAGCTTTCTGATAGCCTTGGTTTCCCTTAGTTCCATAACTCCTGGGTAACAAATCACCATTTGATGGCATATATGCTTTGGTATGTCTGAAGGACCCTGAGTTGTAAGAACATTATGTCATATAACAGACAACAACCAAACCTGCCCAACATATTTATATCTTTATTATACTGGACATCAAATCTTCCCTGCACTCCAGAAAGGGAAATTATTCTCTAAGGAAGTTTGCTGTGCAAATGAACTTTAAAAAATGTGGCTATAAAAAAATGATGTGGTATGTCTGTCCGCACAAAACTTGCAGAAACACATGTCTGTAACCATCTGGCCTGCAAGCATATAGCCCTGCTGGATATGCAAACTCTTCCAAGTTTGTATGGCATTAAAAAATGTTACAGCTTTAACAGGTGAATTTTTATACTCAGTGACAGGAATATTCACAACATAGGAAACAGAAAATGGCATAAGCATAAAAAAATAAAGTATAAAATAAAATCAATGGCTATTCCTAAAATATCTCTGGGGGCCAATTTTTCTTCAAAATAACTTAATGTAAATAGCAATTCTTATGTCTTTAAATATTAAGTTTTATATGTAGGAACTGAAGGCAAAGGTGTAATTATTTCAAAAGGAAAATAAAATCAACTTAACTCTTTCAGATAAATGTATAAAGGCAAATAGGACAGTAGCTGAATCAAGATACGGTCTTCTGGACATGTAAGCTTAGTACAACCCCCATTCATCGCACAACCAGAGGAAGTGCGATACAGCAAAGGCTGTGCTAAAGCATTTCGGTTGGTGTGGCTATGGGGATGTT